ATTATGTTATGATCCGAATTCGACCGGAGAGGCCCCTACATGGTCTGAAGCACGGACACGTTGCCTGCAACAACGTATCGGTGTCCGATACGTGTCAGACACCGGTACGGCTCCGACACGTCGCCGACGAGTGTCGGAGTTGCTTGCGGCGTGTCGGAGGCGTAAATGAAGAAGGAAAGACTGGTAATACCTGAAAAGAAAAGCAACCCGTCACTGTTCTGGGGAAGAGAGAATCTGGGGAAGGGAAGAAAGTCTAGGGAAGAAGGAAAGAAGAAAGGGAAAATAGAAAGGAAATGGAGAAGATTTGGATTTGGGGAAGGTGACTCCGCCTTGGGAAGGAAAAGAGGGAAACGTGGAAAAGGGAAAAGAAGACAGGGAAAACAAGGAAGGAAAAGAAGACAGAGAAAGGACAAGAAGACAGACTATTCAGCAAATGAAAAGTTGTTGGCCCACCACTGTAATTATTTTTCTTCCTAGTAACGTGTAATTGACCTTTTTTTCACCAATGGTTTTTGTTCCAGCTGTATTTTTTACAAAAAAAAAATAAGTAAAATTTTATTTGATTCAATTTTTTACCATTTTACCCTTCAATAAAAAATAAACTTGTATAAGAAAAAAAATTATTACTTTAGACTATCAAACTAAAATAAACTAAAAATAATAATATTTTAATTAACGTGTCGGCGACATATCGTGTCAAAACTTTTTTCAAAAATCGAGTGTCAACGTGTCCGACACTACACTCGTGTCCTTGTCGGTGCTTCTTAAAACATTATTCTATTTTTGAGATCGTTTCTCGAAAATGGCTCATTTTATCTCTTGTAGCAAAACCTCAAATGCATCCAGGGTTGCCACATTGCACTTTAATGAAATTGTTAAATTGTATGGCCTCCCCAAAACCATTATGTCAGACATGGATGTTTGGTTCACTAGTCACTTTTGGAGAACGTTGTGACACAAGGTTGGTACAAAGTTGAAATTTTCTGCTGCCTATCACCCGTAGACTAACGATCAAACGGAAGTGGTTAACCAAGACTAGTCCAAGAAAATCTTAGAAATTGAGATTTAATTCTTCCTACAGCTTAAATTGCATATAACAGTTCCATGAATCGGTCGTTAGGTAGGACTCCATTTGAAGTTGTTCATGGTTTTAA